GGCCGGGGGCCTCGCGCGCTGAGCGCAGGACCCGTCCCGCCGCGCAGGGGATTGTGGGGGTTGTAGTTCAGGGTTCGAGGGCGGGGAGCGAGGAGGAGGCTGGGAAGGGCAGAGGAGAAGGGACAGGGGAGGGAGGGGATTCTCATGCCAGACTCGGACCAAAGCAGGGCTGCAGGCAGCTCGGAGTGACTGTGACACCACCCAGGTGTGGAATACATTTTGTTGTGTGCACAAGGGCATGTGCGGATGTGCACCACCCATAGAAGCACATACCTGCGGGCGCTCTGCTAATCAGCTGGGCAGCATTTGCAGAGGAGAAGGGACAGGGGAGGGAGGGGATTCTCATGCCAGACTCGGACCAAAGCAGGGCTGCAGGCAGCTCGGAGTGACTGTGACACCACCCAGGTGTGGAATACATTTTGTTGTGTGCACAAGGGCATGTGCGGATGTGCACCACCCATAGAAGCACATACCTGCGGGCGCTCTGCTAATCAGCTGGGCAGCATTTGAATCTCACCCCGACGGCTGCCCAAAAGCTCAGCTTACAGGGAACAGTGTCCAGCCCCAAGTTCCGCCCCACCTCCCATGGCAAAGCCGTGAGACGCGGTGCAAACAGAGTCATGGGCTTCCGGTGTTTGCTTACCACTCAGCCGCACAGAGTTGCCACGCCTTCCAGTTTCAAAGCCTCTGCTTAGGACACAGTCTAAAGATGGGGCACAGCCTGGCCCTGATCCAGCCAAGTACTTACACATTTGCCAGAATTTAATTGACTGAATGGATCCGTTCAGGTGATGTTTCAGAGCTTGGCTGGATCAGAACTGGACACCAGCATGCTCAGCTCTTTGCTGGATTGAGTCCTTAGTTTGGACCAGTCTCCACTTAGAATCACAGAACACTAGAACTGGAAGGGACCTTGAGAGGTCATCGAGTCCAGTCCCCTGCCCTCACTGCAGGACCAAGCACTGACCATCCCTGATATATGTCTATCTAACCTGCTCTTAAATATCTCCAGAGATGGAGATTCCACAACCTCACTAGACAACTTATTCCAGTGTTTAACCACCCTGACAGGAAGTTTTTCCTAATGTCCAACCTAAACTTCCTTTGCTGCAATTTAAGCCCATTGCTTAACCCATAGATCCACATTTTAAAGCACTACAGCTTTTTGATTGCTGCTTATTCATTTCTGCTGCCTTTCTGCATTGTCTGGTTTTGCATTGTATGCTGACCTTTTTGGACTTTGGGTCTGATTCTGTTCCTCATGAACAGGGCCCACTGACTTCAGTATAGTAGCTCTGAATTGACACCAACATAAATGAAAAGAGACTCGGGTGATTTGATTCCATTTTTTAAATTCTAAATGGGCTTATTACTAATTTATTGTAAATTACATATGTATTTATTTTTGTAAAGGTGCCCCAAGGGCTTCGGGCCTGCACATTCATAGGTTAAAGGTGGAATCATAGCAATGCTGGAAGGGACTTTGAGAAGTCGTGAGGTTTAGCCCTGTGCTGTGACACAGGACCAAATAAACCTAAACCAGGGGTGGGCAAGTACTGGCCCACCAGCTGGATCCGGGCTGCCAGGGTTAGCCCCTGGTGGGCCACCACATTACCTTATTTACCTGCACCTCCACAGGCACAGGGAATCACAGCTCCCATTGGCCACAGTTCACTGTTCCTGGCCAATAGGAGCTGTGATTGCCCGTATCTGTGAAGACACAGATAAATATAGCAGCAGCCACCCACTAGGGGGTTAACCCTGGTGAACCGCTGCCATTTTATAGCCCACCCAAACCTAAACCATCTCTGATAGGCTTTAACCTAATCTCTTCTTAAAACCCTCCAATGCCACTGATTCCACAATCTCCACCGAAAGCCCATTCCAGTGTTTAACTAACCTTGTAGTTAGAAAGTTTTTCCAATATCTAACCTAAATCTCCCTTACTTCAGGGAACGCTCAATGTAGTAAGTTGAGGGTCAGTAACATGGAGTCAGCAGGCCTAAGGCCTGTAACATGAAAACAGCAACAGGCCTGCAATCAAGTGAGCAAGACTTTGGTTCAGTAACTCAGATACTCATAACTGTGTAATTGTGTAAGTTAGGACACAGGGAGGCATGGAGAACAGACTGTAAGCCGAAAGGGAGTAACGGAACATCTTAAGGAATGTCCTGGTACAAAAACTCCCTAAAAACTAATGCACATACCGACCTAGGTTCAGGACCAGGTCGGAATTGACAGCATGAAGGATAGTAAGTAAGCCCCCCTTCTGTAAGGTGAGGGGTGGTATCTAAGCAACAGAGGGTGATAACCCATACGTAAAGAAATAATGTAAGTTGTTTGAATCTGTCTATAAAAGGACACCGCAAAAGGTGCTCTCCAGCCGACCTGCGGGGGGGGGGGGGGCGGCCCCCCGGCGGTGTGGGGGGGGGGGGGGGGCACACTAGGTGCCTGAATGGCAGGTGTCATTGCCTAAACTTACAGAATGCACAGTAGCTTAACTTTGACTAACTGCTGTTAATATCTGATATATGGCAATAGGCCTGCCCGCTGTTGGTACCTTGTCAACGCGGGCCATAGTGCCCAGTGGTGTAACATTGGACTGATCTCTGTTACCAACTGGTAGAGCTTCACATTTGACAATAAACCTGCTCGATTGATTTCAAACCTTGCCTGCATCTGTCGTTTCCGGTGCCTCTCAGAGATCTCTTGTGTTGACCCAAGTGCATGGGGTCTAACACTCTAGATAAAGGGAGTACCGATTGTTACGCATACAGCCAAAAGTTTATCATCACCGATGGAGTAGAGGACCTATCAGGAGTGCGCCAGGACGTCCCTGACCAGACGACGCTGACACTGACAGTCCAGACCACCGAAAGTATTGAGGTACGAAAACACCGAGGTACGACACTCATTACTTCTTGTCCTACCATCAGTGGATCACTGTCCTTCTTATAACAACCCTTTACTTATTTGTAGTCTGTTATCAGGTCCACCCTCAGTCTTATTTTCTAAAGGCTCAACAGTGCTCAAATTTTTTAAACCTTTTCTCAGAGGTCAGGGTCTCTGAACCTTTTACCATTTATTATTCTCAAAGCTTATTGCCTCCACTATGAAGGAGTGACATAGTTGAGTTACACCTCTAGACTGTGGGGCACCTATATACTATGCTGACAAGTGGAGTTGGCTGAAAATTTTCCCACAAACCAGTTTTCTGTCTGAAGAGGGAGATTTGACAGAAATGAAATGTCCCTCAGGAATGAAACAATTCTGTTGGAACTTTTCATGGTAACCAACCTGGCAAGCCTCTTTGGTTTCCTGCCATCCAGCGTTCTCACTGCCCATCTGCCAGTAGACTGGCACAAGACCAGAATGGCTGTGTTCCTCGTTCCCTTGGTAACTTGAGAGCTCAGGGGCAGCTCCTTAACTGGCATACCAGGTGGGCAGGCTGAGTAGATGTCTTGTCAGCTCCCCAGCTGCCTGTTATTAAAAATGTATTTTATATCACATCCGTTTTATATCACATCCGTTGCTTTTATTTCTCATTTTATAGTAGTATTTTCATTTTATTTCCATGTCTTTGATTTTTGTTTTACTTTATATTGTTTTATTTCTAGATTTTTATACCAATTTACAACAGGAAATTATTCTTTATCAAGCCAGTTACTAAAGCAAAGAGTAGTTACCACTTAGAACAGCATTTACAAATAATCAGAATACCAGTTGAACACATCAAGTTCCAGTGACCAAATCAATCAGAATGCCATAACGTAATAGCTGAAACCTTTATGTATATTATGCTAGAAGATTTACCTGGTCTGCTCAGGTCCTTAACTCAGTTAATGGGGTTGGGGGTGGAAATGAAAATGTACATGGTTCATTTAAATCATTGCTCTGGGGTAGGGCTGGGGAGGAAGGATTCAGTATGAAGGCTGCCCAGGGGAAAGAGACTACCCCAGCATTCTCACTGCAGCATCTTCAAGCCAGGTGAGAAGCGCCTCTCCATGGCTGCTGCAGTTCCAGCGGGCACAGTTGGGGAAGGGGTCATGCACCCCTCCCCCCGACCCAGCTGGAGCAATTCCATGTTAGTCTTTCCTCTGTGCCCCCCAGCCAGAGTGAGGAATGCAGCAAACTGTTCACTTTCCCCTCACTCCCTGATGAAGGGGACCAGCCAGCAAGGTTCCCGTATGAATCAGGGGAGGGAAAGCTTCACTAGATCTCAAAATGCTTCATAATAACTTCTAGATACCCACTGAGGACTTTTCTCTGAAACAGAGTTTTATATGAGAAGATGAAATAAATGTTATTTCACTATCTCTATAGGAGCCATCAACTTTAGATCTGGGTTTATTAAGAATAAACTAACGGTCAAGTCGCCCACATGGATGATCTTATTGAAATACTAACCTTTCCTTGTCCTAGACACCCATCCTAAACTGCTCTAGTTAAAGGCCTGAGTGAACAGATATGACTTGAACTATCCAACCTAAGGTTCTGGTGCAACACCCAGAGGAGCAGATATTTCAGAGGCAAGGACCATTCAAGGGCATCATGCATCCACCTTTTATCAAGGCTATCACTTAAAGAGCTGTCAGTATGAGCAACCTAATAGCTTTCCTTCCTATAAGTCCCAGGTATCAGGTCATTAAGACGTATCCCAGGTGAAATGTAGAAACCTGGAGATATGAGCATGCATCAAAAAGGATAAACTCAAGAGCCCTGTTTGAGAACTAATGCCCTTTATAAAGACATACTTTTCAGAAAGACTTGCTTGTGATTTTTTGTTTTGTTTACGGAGGGTAAACAGTAATAAAATATCAACATCTCAGTCCTTTCAGAATGGCCCAGAGGGACTGAAACATGAGCTTTGTTCTCATCTGCGATCTGTAAATAACAGAGGAAATTACAAGTAAGGATTCCTTTTAAAGGGATTAGCTATTCCTACTCTCCCAGTGCCTCATGGCTTAACCTGCTTGAGTTTTGTGATTGACAAAGCTATGGTTAAGAGCACTTGCTAAAGGATGAGCTGGACCCAGACTTGATATGACTATAGAGATAGCTAGTAATATACTAGATCAGCTAAATAATAGTAATCCTAGACCCACAAAATCGAACCCTAGAAGATTGATCGCCAGACTGTCAATCCTCTGGTAAGTGGAGACATGGCCTTAAACTTTGCTGTCTTTTCTTTTCTAACATTCATTTTATTCCTTGTTTCCAGTTTGTTGCATTCTACGGCAATGTTTACAGAAGCCCAGCAGCAATTTTGCATCAGACATGCATTTCCCTACCAGTTTAGAGCAGCAGTTATAATCACAGCAAGGATGCAATACACCAGAGCCCAAACACATTGCAAAACAAGTGTAGAGTTAGTGTGCAAGCTGAAATGACAATGCAGCCATCATCCACTGTCCATGAACATTACTTACTCTGAGAGGTGACCATGTGGAGTTAGCTCCAGACAGCAGGCTTGCTGCATTCCCTGCCACCTGCTGATTCCCTTCATTTCGCAGCGTGGTGATGATGTGTGGTAGGGAGCAGTGGCCATTTCCTGGCATAGTGTATTCAGAACAGTAAACAGTATATTTCAAGAACATTTCTTGGACAAGGGTGGGATTTGGTGGCCACATAGACCCTGTCTTGCTACCCCAGAAGTGGGATTGACACATCTCTCTGGATATTAGTAACTCTATCAGGGCACAGAATAAGAGCAGAACTCTCATAGTCAATCAAACAGAGGAGGGATGCTCTTATCTCATCAATCAAAGATGCAGGAGTGCTGCTTATCAAAACCAGGGTGATGATGGTAGAGAAAGAGAATTCCTGTGCTTCTAGGGGTATGAGATGGAGCTTCATTTCCCCCTTTTACTGGTTACCTTAACCCCTGTCTATATACCACAGGCTTTGTCTACACTGCAGGCGAGCTTCTGCAAAAACTTGTTGCACAAAAGTGCATCCACATCTCAAAAGCAATGAGCTTTTGCACAAGAGAATGTCCACACTGCATGGACACTCTTGTGCAGGAAAGTTCTGATGGCCATTCACAGAATGGCCATCAGAGCACCTGTGCTTTTTGTGATAGGCTCTTTTATGTGCAAGAAACCCCTGTTGAGCGTCCACACACGCCTTTTTGTGCAAGAACTCTTGTGCAATAAAGAGTTATTCCTCGTAGAAAGAGGTATACCTACACCACAAAAAGCCTTCTGTTTGGCCATTTTACTGTACATTTTCTTGCGCAAAAATGCACTTGAGGTGTGGACGCTCCACGGGTTTTTGTGCCAAAACGGCTGTTTTTGCCCCAAAACCCTGTAGTGTAGACATAGCCCATATGACTGGCATACTACAAATACCCTACATGGATGACACCATGGCATATGGTCCATCCCATCACTGCGGTTCCCATACTGTTTTTCAGCAGCGTGAATGGCATGAAGTTACACAATTGCTTTTCACCCTCTCTTTTTCTCTAATGATTTTCTTTCAGATGGCTGCTCTATTTGAGGCCAGGCTGGCTCTGTTACTTAGAGGGGTTTATCTGAGCTTACTCGATTTATTCAGTGAATTTCACCGGGGATGCTTCAGTCACTCAAGCTGTTAAAGAGGATCTTGACATTTGATGGGCTTTGGTAGCAGCTCAGTGGTGCAGAGCAAGAAAAGTCTTGCATGTTCCACTGACATTCTCACTATCGTCTGTCAAGCGCCTGGATCCAGGGTGTGAAAACTGCAAGTGGCAGCCCTTGGGACACCTGGGAAATGTTCTCTGGGAACAGGTGGGTCCCAGCTTCACAGAAAACTAAGGGGCCAGGCCTGTCATGTACAGAACAAGCAGAAGTTTCTGGTCTCAAAATGGGACAGGATGAGGGAAGAAAGCTACGTCATGGCAAATGCAGTCCTGAATTACACCCCACACTGCCCCAGGGGAAAACAAACCAGTACGTACCCGAGCCTTCATCCATTTCTAGAACCTGTGTTAAAATAAACTACCAGGAGGCAGCAGCATGGTTCAGTCCTCAGAAAGCTGGCCCCTATCTCAAGTGAGGTTTCTAGGAGCTACAGTAATGCAAATAATAACTGATAAAGGATGCAGAGTTCTCATTGCACCATGAAAGGAGAAGGGGAGGAGGCTGATGGAAAGCACTATTTAGCCAGACCAGGGTAAAGAATGAAATTTCTCTCTCCTGCTGCTTTGCTCCCTGTCCAGAGCTGGACCTTTCTTAATGTTCAGCTATGTGATGCTCTCCAAGTCCTGGCTTGACTCAGATCAGAACCAAGGAAGGCAAAATGCTACAAAAGAAACCAAACTGGTGGGGTTTGGGTCTAGGCATCGGAAATGAAAGTCTCTGCAAAGCCTCTCCCTGTGCAATGTCCAGGTCCCCTCTGCAGAGGGGAGATGTTGAGATATGGTCTTTGGAGCTTGACAGTTCCACGCGTCCGGCAGGG